TTCTTAAATTTTTTCTAACATATTATTAGTCAATTATATTTTAATAGATAATATAGAAATATTCTTAATAACAATATTTAATTTACAGATTAATAAATAAATTTCAATCTTACTCAAAATAAAGATAAAATTACATTAATTATATTTCTCAATTTATGTATTTACATATCTATTTATATACATATGTACATTATTATAATTATATACATTTCTACATATATCCAGAAAGCTAGATATAGAATAAATTTGTTTCTTTATATATGGATAATAGGAAATGGTTTCATTGTACTCTTATGATTTCCAGTAAACTATTCTGAATATAATACAATGGAAACTATATGAGAATCTATATAAATTGATAATTGGTGCATAATTTATGGAATTGCATTCAACAAACATCACAAATGGAAAGAAATAATTTATTTCAAAGATTATACTGTAATGTGATCATTATATATATACATGTATAAGTATTCTAATGAAGCAATTTACTTTATGATTATAATAAAACAATATATACATATAAACAAATAAATAATAAACAAATAATACATAATATTTATTACAAGTTTATACATAATAATAACTGTTTAATTAAATAAATATATTTCTAATATTAAATATGAGGTGCATTATGAAAAATGAAATAAAAGATTATCCTAAATAAAAATAAAATATAAAGCTATTACAAGATTATAACAAAATATTTTACACAAGATTAGAATTCTTTGCAAAATGCTGATTATTGTGTTTATTAAATATATATGTAAACATATTTTAAAAAAATTTTAATATATTTGAACTAAGAAAAATCTCTATCATTTTTAATGTCAATTTACCTTTAAATTAACTTAAATAGCATTATTATATGCATATAATACAGCAATTCAGAAGCTCAATTCATTTCAAATTATTGAAATATTATAATTATATATGATTATATATATGCAAATTTAAAAGCAAATTAATTTTTTAGCCAAAAATGCAATACTTTAGATAAAATTCCGTTTGCAAATCGAAAGATACTTGAAAATGCAATTACTTCACCTCGCATACAATTGTAGCGTTCGACGCATCAGTTTGCTGAGTAGTATTAAACTGAACTAGAACTAATTCGTATGTAACTATGGTACCTGCTACCTAAAATATAGTAATTAATTTATAAATTAAATATTTCAGATTGGATATCAACATATGAATATCATATTTATATATATATACATACAGTCAATACGAGACTTCTAGTTACTGAGAAGAATTTCATACCGGTTAAACAGATATTATCTGTCGTTACTTGTGACAAAAATCTCATTACCTATAAAAATATTAAATCAATTTTATATACATATTATACGATGTAATTATACATTGATTAGGATTGAAATTTTACTTCTGTGGAGAAACTGCTACTGGAAACACTGTAGAGAATCGGTGCCGGAAGTAAAGATTCATCGTGAATCGTCGCAGCACACAGCGAGACTACTGTTGTTCTAGCCAAAAGGAATCCAAAGGAGAATCCGAAATAGATTTTCTCGATAATACCTCGCATCGGGCTGTTCAAACATTTAATAGTTATCCTATGTCTATTTGCATGGAGTATAGCAATATTAATCACATAGAATGATGGAAATTGAAGGTAGAAGATTAAATTTTTACATAGATTAAGAAATATATAGATGATGGAAGATGATAGAAGAGAATTATGTGTAATAAATCACATTTATGTAGACATTTATGTAATAGTAATGAAACGACATGCACAAATAAATATTTCTGTAATGTATACTTGAAAGAGAAAAGTAGTTGTATGCAGATGAAATACAAGTCCGTGGCAAAAGATAGGAGAACCATAATGGAAATATGTGAGTCCAGTTGTCTCGTTAAAGTTGCCAAATGATTGTAATCACTCCTTGCTTCGGCCCACCACCATTCCGGCATTGCCTTAACAATGAAATGATACTAACGACCAAGATTCGTCATTAGAAACAATAATACAAACTGCTAAACTTTATAATATTTTAATTAGAGCAATCATACAAAAAATAATATAATTTTTTAGCATGTGGTAAAAAGCAAAGAGAATAAGAGAACGAAAAGGAGGGAGATTGAAGAAAGAAATGAGCAGAACATTATTAATAAAATTTTACAATTGATAAGTCATCAAAAAATAAATATATAATAAAAAATATATAATAGAGAAATATTATAATCGCTTACCTTTCCTCTTACAGAATACAAGCGGCTGTTTAATTGTCGAAATTGATCGGTTAGAGCGATGCTGATAAGAATGAGAAACAAATCCACAAAATTCCATGAAAATGTACTGAGGATATTAATGATATCTACCAATATTCCCTTCCATAAACTGTATGAAGTTCTAGAAAATATCTGATTGAATATAGATTATTATTTTTAGAACGCTTTCTCTTAAATTTAATTTTTTTAAAAAGAGATCAATTTGTAAAAATATTCGATAGAAATTATGCTTTTACCTGTGGAAATTGCATCTGAAAATACACACCAAGAATACTCTGCTCTTCATGAAAGTCAATGCATTCTTTCGCTTTGAAATAACCGTGAATTATCGATAAACTGTGCTCAACTGCAAAAATTTATCGCGATTTTGAAAAAAATTCAAAGCTAAAAATATTTTTTTCGCGTTTAAAAAAGAATTAATACAATATGAACGAAAAATATTATTTACCTAATGCAAACGTCATTACTATTATAGTCACGATTTTGAATTTCATGGACAAACTGATTTTGGAAATTTTTCTATGCCTCTGTGAAAGCTCTTTCTCAAGTTTTTCCCAAGTTACCATCAAGCAGGGCCATCGCATAGCCAATTTTAAAAACAAGAAAGATGCGATCAAATTCGTTCCGTTGAAAACGAATGTGGCTTAAGAATAAAAAATAAATGATAATTCGATTAATAACGATTTAAAATTATGTTAAGAATATTTATGAATTAATAAATTTTCGTTAAAATTAGGAAGAATAAGAATCTTACTCATTTTTATTGAACTTATCCCAGTTGTAATAATTCTTAAAACATTAAAAATCGTCATTATCGATGAACTCAGAAATGATATCGTGCAATATATAAATTTCGGGCTGCGCCAAGTGAATCTAAGCATAAAAAAAGATAGATAATGATCAATTAATTTTTTATACACGATATTTTTAATAATCTCATTGAAAAAAAAAAATCACCTAAGATACGACGCATCGGGACTATTAACCCCCGACACAGGGAATAAAGAAAAGAATTGCGCCAACATGATGATTGGTCTCATGGATGCGTGTAAGCTGTCAGTCTTTGGATTAAACGAATTAGCAGAAAATGCTACTGGTTCCGACACTGGAAATTTAAACGAAACGCTAAGGCTATTGGAACAAGGCGAATTGAATTCGAACATTAATAGAAATTTTCATAGAAATTTACTCCCGATAGTTTCTATTTCCGTTTTCAAATTGTCCAATTTGCCAAACTTTGAACTGCTCTTGGGCGACCTGAAAATTTAATTATTTATTTGAGAAAACGTAATGTCGAGCAATCGATTGGAAAGATGGATTTATAAAGATATATTTAGGAACACATATTATTTTCAATTTTTTGGACGCAAAAAATGAAGTTTCACATTCACTCGGAACGATCAAACGTTATTTAACATAAAAAAAAAAAGAAAAAAGAAAGGAAAATTAATCGAAGAATGGTAAAATTCACATAGAATATTGGATCGCAAGGATCTGTAAACCTTCTTCGTAGCGCGTCGCGACCAACGATATGCACAGCACAGGATCGCATGGCGAACAGAAGATAGACTCGTTATTTCAGAGTTTTATCATAAGCGTCAAAAGGGTGGAGAGTGTCTTATACATAGTTCCAGGAAACTCGATAAACGATTGCTTGAACAACCATTAAAGAAATCTGGCTCAATGGGGTGGTGAACTGGTGGGCAATTGTAAAAATCCGTGACAGAGAAACGATATTTATTCTCGCCTCTTATTTGCAGTCGTATAAAAGAATCTAGAGATTCGTTATCTAATTATATGTACATGCAATTACAAATCGATTATTTAATTTTTACTAGCGATGCCATTATAATTATATTATAATTATAAATATAATCAACACATGCTTATTGTAATTAAAAAGAAATAATAAAAAAAAAAAAGAAAGAAAGAAAGAAATGTAAAACAAAGAGAAAAAATACAAGAAATAGAAATATTGTTTTATACGTACCTAATGTTGAATAATAATGTATTTTGATTGACAGCTGGCGCATTCAATGGCCACATTCCGTCTAAGTTTTTCCCTGTATTATCGTAAATCGACATTTTTTACACCATTTCGTCAACGTTTAAACATTCAACATACTGATCCAACAACAAGAATAATATCATAATAAAGCGACGTCGAACCACCAACATCACCATATCGAGTTCAAACACTTCATTGCTACGAAACAAAAAATAAAATATCCAAAAAAAAAAAAAGACGCAATCAATCACAAAAGGAATAAATCGTAGAGAAGCAAAAACGGCACGACTCGTTTTTGTACAACATGCGTGAAATATGTCACGATGAAGTTTTATAAAGATCGTTGAAACTGGGATAGGTATGACGAGAAAATAAAGGAAAAATTAAAAGGGTGGGATTACAAATACATCACGTGATGAATATATACTTTCTTGATAGTGTAGAACGTGTCATGAAATGAACTAAAAGATATACGACAACACAAGTTATATATCGTGTAGCGTGTATATTAACTATGACAGAGAAGATATGTGCACTATTGAGACTATTACAGATATGCACTACTGAGCGTAGGTTTATGTACGAATGGACATTTGACACACTTGCCGCAAATAGTGGCTCGATGGCGGTACATCCTACCAAAGGTACTCAACGGATTTCCCTATTCGAATGTTCGAATCCTCGGTTTGACCAGTTCTTCGATTGAAATTCACACTTCATTTTGGTTTCTATTATATTTCATATGGTCAGTTTGATACGAAGTTCGATATAGAGTTTGTTTCAAAGCTAATATAATAGATAAGAAGGATGATGACTGGCCTATAAACACAGATATGTGTATATATATCTTTGATAAAACAAGAAAACCCTTTTTATGAAAAGATAATGTAGTCATGATTATCGTCGTACATTATTAATAAAGTATGATTTAATATTTTTTCTTCCTTTTTTTTTTTTTGGAATATCGTTATTATTATAAATAAATGTAAATGCTCGTTTTGAAGAAAGTATCCGTTGTTTTAGCGTTGTTGGAGCAGATGTTTGTTCAAATCTTTAACGATCTGTTATATTTATCTGTACACCGTCATCCATCAATCATATCTTCGCTTTGTTGTCGTTTAGAAACGTAGGGCATACGAGAAGGGTGTGATAACAAATTATTTTCTTACAAGATCCATATATTGCGAAACTTTACACGTGAATTTATTTTCACAGATATATATTTTAAAACGCATTAATATTCATATTAGATTTGACGATATATAAAAATATGTAAAAAAACATAATGTAGATAGTTTCAAAAGATTAATCCAAGTATTAACATTCAGTATTATCAGGCTAATTGATATTTTTTTTATTCTACTATATAACAAATAGTTTTTATTTTAAGAAAAAAATGTATTATTTCCCAACATAATTTGTCAAAGTATCGATTAAAAAGTTATACACTTTTATTAAAAATTATAAAATTTTAAAAAATTAATATATATTTCACGTGCGACAATTTATATAATATTTTTCCCAAAGAAAAAAACTCGAACATATACAAATACAATATAAAAATCAAAATCATTCATAGTTTTATACTTTAATGATGTTTATACATCGTGTTGCAATGGCTTGGTGTTTAGTTCCTCTTTCACGTCAGTAGTATTCCGTATTATTATAGTATTCCGTATACGTGAACATACGACGAGCTGACAGGTTGTGTAAACAGAATTTTTCCATTGTTACGCCGCTTGCATTTGCTTTCAGTGAAAAAGGGGTGTGTATGTGGATCTCGTCTCTGTAATTCCGGCCCATTTTAATATCTTTCTCTCTGTAGCCGTGGAAACCAATATATATCTTCTGTACCATATACTGTGTCATATACGTTGCATCGTTTCCATTTCTCTTTAACAAAACCCTCGATTAGTAATTTCCAACGATAATTGTAATAGGTTCATACCGATACCTGTTACAAGTAATGGAAGTTTTCGAGTATTAAAATGTGTGGAAAATGGGAATGAAAGATGGGGAGAAAAGCTGATAAATTAAAATAGAATGAAATCACTCTTTCTTCGGTATAAAAGAGATATTTTTTTTACCGAAGTAAAATGAATATGATATTTTACATTCACGGATTAAAAATATTATACAAATGTTATAAAATTCCCTACAACAAGTAATAAAAATAAAATTTTCGTAATAAATTACTTTTTAATGAATTAAATTTTACAAAAGGGATTAATTCGATTCCAATGAATAATTTTTAAATCAGTTTCACGGAAATCGTGATTATATTTATTTTCTTCGAAATATTTATCTGATGCAAACATTTGTGTTTTACGCGTTCCGTGTATACCGCGCCAAAGAAAATAATAAATCATGTAAGATTATTGTCGAGTGTAGTATTGTTGTAAATTACACTTCTACGATAATTACAAACCATGTTTCAATTAAATATTCATATTGCGTGAAGAGTCGTAAAACGATGATTACAGTTCTATATCTGTATCAGGGTTTGTTTCGATTATTTGCACAATAATTGCTACTGCTTTCAAAGTCAAGATGATTATCATAAAAACAATCAGAGAGAGAGAGAGAGAGAGAGAGAGAGAGAGAGAGAGAGAGAGAGAGAGAGAGAAGAA